GGCCGAGAGAACGGTCGGAAGTGGACCGCTCCGAAGCGGAATGTTGGTTTCAAGGGCAAGTGCTTCAACTGTGACCACGTGGGCCACATGAAGCGGGACTGTCCTGCTCCGAAGAAGGGTAGCCAAGACGATGCAGTGTTTGCAGCTGATGGGGAACGCTCGGCCGGGTGGCTGATTGATAGCGGTGCGACGTCGCACATGACCCCTCACCGGAACGACCTGTTTGAGTACAAGTCGCTGGACACTAGCATGGAGGTGACGATTGCAGACGGAAAGAAGCTGCACGTCGCAGGAACTGGAACGGTCTAGTTGACTGGTTTGAACGGTAGACGCATCCGTACGGTGGACGTGCTCCACATCCCCGGGCTCGATAGACGCTTATCGTCAGTCGAGAAGCTCGCGGAACGCGGTATGAGTGTGGAGTTCCAGCGTTCCAGTTGTGTAATTTGGGGAAGGAACGCTGCAATAGCGTCCGGGAAGAAAATCGGTAAGGCATTCCTGTTGGACTGTCAGCAGGAGGAGGCCCGTTTCGTGGAATAGTGGGAGCTTTGGCACGCTCGCATGGGTCACCCCAACAAGGACGCACCGCCGAAGACCCAGCGTTCCACGACCGGTATCCCGCCAGTAAAAGGGGGTGCAAGACTCTGTGCGGTGGATGCATGAAGAGAAAGCAGACCGTGACGGCGATCCCGTCACGATCACTGACGAAGACAGCGAGTGTGTTGGAAATAGTATACACGGACGTTATGGGACCAACGAGAACGCTCTCAAAGGGGGGTGCCAAGTACGTGCTGACCTTTGTAGACGTCTACTCAAGGTATGTCGTGTCATTCTTCATGAAGCACAAGAGTGAGGTGGGCAGCAAGCTGAAGGAGTTCAAGGCGCTGTATGAAAATCAGTGGGGGGGGAACGATTGAAGTGCCTGCATTCCGATAATGGAACGGAGTTTGTAAACAAGACGGTATTGGAACTCTGTCAGCGGAATGGCATCGTTCTTCAACGCAGCGTTCCATACAGCCCTCAGCAGAACGGTGTTGCAGAACGCATGAACCGTTCCATCATGGAGAAGGCACGAAGCATGCTACACTACAAGTCTATGTCGACGGAGTGGTGGGCTGAAGCTGTGAGTACTGCAGTGTACCTTATCAACCGCTCCACGAACACATCCAACTCGGATGTCACGCCATATGAGTTGACGTTCCTAGTGAAGCCACGGATGGAGCACCTACGCGTGTTTCGATCACAAGGGTACGCTCACGTGGATGCCGTGAAGAGAACGAAGTTGGAACCCAAGAGCTTCAGGTGCGCGTTCCTCGGATACGCAGAGAACTTAAAAGGGTATCGTGTCTACGACTTGGATGCATCCAAGGTCAAGCTGTCACGATCGGTAAAGCTGGACGAGCGTGAGGTGGGCGGTATTTATGACACGCCGTCGCCAGCTTCTGGAACAATCATCCATGTGACAAGGAGCGATGACGATACCGTGGTTCCAGCTCCAGAAGTGGAATGACAGTCTGTTCAAGATGAACCGATGGAAGAAGCGGAAGAACCTGCTCAAGACATTGAGATGGACGATGTTGAGCCGGAACGGAACGCAGAGCTACCACAGCTACCCGCACCGGAGGAGCGCCGGTCGAGTGGACTGGAACTGGCAACGTACCGCTGACAACCTCCTGCGTTCCAAGAGGACCGAATAATCTTCCATACTGCAACAGAACGCTCAACCCGACCTCGGGAACCGGTGTTTCTGCTTGGGAACGGCTACGATGACGATATGGAACGTCAGTCTGAACGAGGTAGTGATGGACCGCCGTCTCCTAAGCGTCCTAGGATCGATGAAAACTGTTAACTCGCAGAGGCAGTGTTGGCATATGCGGCCAGCATCGGAGGTGTCCCGGATACGCCGAACACGTACGCAGAAGTTATCGTCATGATAAAGCAGCTGAAAGGCGTCGGGCGATGAAGGCTGCGTTACACTCTCATTCCCAGAACGGAACGTAGACGTCGGTTCCATGTGGAATGCCTACGCGTTTTATTGGATGTCGCTGGGTGTTCACCAAGAAGCGTGACGAGAACGGTCGTGTTATCCGTTACAAGGCACGCCTAGTAGCTCAAGGGTTCAAGCAGAAGTTTGGAATCGTTTATTTTTTTTAGACGTACTCTCCTGTTGCAAACATGAACTCGATTCGAGTTGTACTCGCTGTGTGTGTGTGGCATGTGACTACGTTATGGAGAAACTGGATGTCGACACAGCGTTCCTAAACAGTAAATTGGTGGATTTGGTCTACATGGACGTCCCACTTGGTCTCGAGAACCCTGAAGGCAAGAAGCTCAAGCTTCTAAAGGCCAAATATGGTTTGAAACAAGCTGCAAGTGCATGGAACAAGACCATCCATCGTGTGTTCCTGCGGAACGGTTTCAGGAGTTATGGAGCCAACCAGTGTGTCTACGTCAAGCGTTCCAGGGACGCATTCGTGTACGTATGCCTGTATGTGGACGACATGATCATTGCGGCGAAGACACGCGAAGTGATTCGCGAAGTAAAGGACGCTCTGAAGAGTGCCTTCAAAATAAAGAGTTTGGCGAGGCAAAGTTCATCCTGGGGATGGCGATTGATCATGATAAGGCAGCTGGAACGCTGATGATCAAGCAAACTCGGTCTATTGACGATATTGTAGCGCGCTTCAACCAACGGAACGCCAAGATGTTGGATAACCCATGCGCGTCAAACATGAAGCTGTCAAAGATGATGTCGCCAGCCACGGAGAAGGAGCGACGTGAAATGCAGTCAAGACCGTACCGGTCCTTCATCGGATGCCGGATGTACATCACAACATGCACTCGACCGGACATTGCGTTCGTTGTAACGCAGTTGTCACGCTTCCTGGAGAATCCTGGAACGCAACACTGGAAGGCAGCGATACGGGTCCTGCAGTACTGGAAGACAGCTCGGCAGCACGATATCGTCTACCAAAGTGTACCGCAAGGTGTCAAGGCAGAGGCGTTCGCGGACGCAGACTGGGGAAGCAACATTGACGACAGGCGTTCCGTATCAGGTGTCATGGTCATGATTGGGAACGCTCCGGCTGTGTTCAAGTCCAAGTACCAGCGAACGGCTGCACTCAGCTCAGCGGAAGCAGAGTACATGGCTCTGAGTCTGTGTACGCAAGAGGTACTGTGGACACGTGCTATTCTCAAGGACATGGGTCACCAGCAAGTGGGAGCGACGCAGGTCTGGGAGGACAATCAAGGTGCTATCGCACTTGCAAGTAACGCTGGGTATCACGTTAGGACCAAGCACGTGGATATCCGACATCACTTCATTTGGGAGAATGCGGAACGCTCTATGATCAAGGTGGACTACGTCGACACGAAGCGCCAACTTGCGGACATGATGACGAAGGCGCTTGGAACGAAGTCGCTAGCGTTCCTTCGCGAGGCAAGCGGGATCAAGAAGAGGAACGCCGCGATCCTTAACGAAGACGAACGCCGTGCAATAGCGGTGAGTGGGAGTGTTAATTCACACTGACCCTGCACGGTTCAGTTAACCGGCTGAACGTTCCAGGATGGACCGTTTCAAACCGGTTAATCTGGTGGGAGGCCAGGGGCGCTTGACAAGAGGACAACAAGGAGGACAACGCTAGAGTAGCAGTTTAGAGGACAGATTTAATTGACTTTAATCTACTCACTTCAGCATTTACCGTTAACAACAAACATTTTTTTGTTTGACTGTGGATTTGCTAAACCCGACTCCATTACCAATTTCTACCGGCTTCAACAACAAATTAGCTTGTCCCAGCCTTTTTAGCTACTCCAGTCATTTTTTTTGTTTTTCGAAGTTTTTCTTGTATCTGTTTCTAAGTTTCTTAGAATTTGTAAACCATATTTGTTATTTTATATTCAAAGTCGAAAAAATACAATACATGTACAAGCTGTTTTTGGACCATCTGGTATAAATTTCAGAGAAAAATTATCCTGGTATTCCCTCTTAGTCTCTTTAGCTCTCGAAATTCTAATTTCTGGGGGATAGTTATTATCGCCATTATAGTTAAGCAGATATCTCTTTTCAATTAGCCTGTCAGACACCAATTGTCGTCTACTGTACACGTTTATCCGAGCTCGTGTGGCACATTGCCAATGAAAAAGAAATGGAGAGCTTTGGTTGTTGGAATAGCGCGAAAAAGAAAATCAATGGACGCTCCTTCAGTGGAATACATGTAACGAAGGTTCTCGATGTTCCACTGGAATATATTAATGAACCATCGGCCTTGACCCTTTTTCAGACACTTGTTGCTCCAAAATCTTGAGCTACCGGTAGTCTAGAAACCATTAATAAGTTCTCTAATATATCCTTCGTTGAACCAGAACTTTTTAGCATACTGGTGTATTTACATGTTACGCAGCATCAGGACTGAAACCAAATTCCCTATCGGAATACTAAGTATTAATAATACAAACGTTTTGGTCCAATTTGTTTGTTTGTTCATTTAATCAAGCAACTTGTAGTTCAAGTCTTGCCTCTCCAGTTCCAGCACTAGCATTTTAATTTGCACTGAAGAACTCATTAGTTAAGTGTGAAATACAGGAGCACTTTAATTTCATATCGACCTGGTGAAGAATCAACGATACTGATACCTATGCTAGCAGCATTGATCTTGATCCTAACACGCGTATTTAGTGCTGAGATCACCAACTATCTCGAGCAGAAGGCTTCATGCGACACAGCTTTGGCTTTCATGAGCTGGCAGCTACTACTTCAGTACCTCTCTGTGGTCCTTCTAGTGTTCATACATGTTATACATCAAATTTATCGTCCGTTTAATTCCTTGTTTTTTAAAGTGTTGAACTTGGGTCCATGCACGAAAAGGGGGATGTACGTCGGGCTCTTAAAGTACTCATAGAACCGCAAGTAGTTGATGTAGATGCGATATTCCTATCGCCAATGCATGTTGACGAGATAACGTTGAGCTTGTTGTACATCATCGCTGGGGTTCGCTTATTCACAATCCAGACCGTGAATCGGATTGCCCAGTACAGAGGTCGGACGTAGTTGTTGTTTGGCCTTCGATTTTCGGTTGATTTTTTAATAATGTAACCCACCATTCCTTCTTGAGTCCATTACCTCTTTCATGCGTATAGGTCGTGTCATCTTTTGTCACCAGTCTTTTGATCGCTATCCGCACGCTCGCGAGTATAATTTCCCTCTCTTCGTCAGTGGCCGAGGTCTTGTGCGCTTCAGCAGTGGTAGAATCGCTTCGTAGAAGTCTATACAATGTATAGACTTCTACGAAGCGATTCTGACGTGTCATGTCAATGGCCATGGCTGCCATGATGGCACTGTCATGGTGGCCGGCTGGGAATAAAGGTACAGCGTCGATCGACGCATCGTTGGCAAAGCTCGTCTGCTCTGTAGCGGTATCCGCAATGGCCGAGGTTGTATCGCAGATCGTTATGACGAGTAGTGTAATAACAAGAGGTCTACGTATATAGTCTGCGAGACACATCTCTGATGCCATTAGAGCTCGCGTATTACTGTACATGTAGTAGCTGCAGAGCCGGCACATTACACCGGCAGTTTTTTTTCGTAGCCTTTTTTCACAAGGAGAGTAGGTTTAACCGCGCCAGCGACCGCTTGGCCAATCGAGAGCGTGGGGACGCGCTCAATGCCATTGAGTGTGTCCTCACGCTCTCGACTGGTTATTGAGTCAATGCGTCTCAAGTAGGTTTCAAGTCCTCTAAACGGATGGCAACCTCTCGACCCGCTGAGCGAGAGGACGCATCCGATGCAGATTTCAAGTTCTCGCTATTCGAATCGCATGGGATAGGTCTTTTTTGTGGCACCGCCTTCGTTTCCCGCTTAGGCCTTTTCTCTCATTCGAGAATCTGGAAAGATGGTTATAATGTGGACCACATCCCACGTCCTTTCTCTGCTATTCATCAGAAAAGTGTATGCTTCGAGGCATAAGTGTTCGGTCGTGTCAAATTATGTCTACCGTTCTCCGAAAAATGTCTAGTGCGGGTTGGAAAAATAGTGCGAGAGCTCTCGCACCAGACTCGAATCTGCCGCCTCAAGGAAAGATGGTGAAACTCTTGTGTGCTGTGGTGGGTGTGGCGGAAAGCGTGTTGTCGGTGCGAGTGGACGAGAGCGACTCGGTGGCTGACTTGAAGAAGGCGGTCAAGGCGGAGAAGAAGAACGACTTGAAGGACGTTGATGCATACAAGCTGAAGCTCTTCCTGGCCAAGACAGCGGACAGCAAGTGGCTCTCTTCTCGCTTGGAAGACGTAACGAAGCTGAAGAAGGGCGAAAAGACTGCTCTCATCGAAGCGCTCACGAGTGAAGACAAAGAGTTACAGGGAGAAGATTCGTTGGAGGACGTGCTGATTGGAATGGATCCTCCATCAACTTCCCAAATCCACGTGCTGGTGGTGGTTCCACGGTCTACGGGAGACGATGACGCATGGAGCCCAATGGATCCTAAGGTTCAATTGAATCTGTGGAAGTCAGTTGTGAGAGTTTCTTCGGAAGATGTGTGCTCAGGAACGGCGCTGGTTGTGGATCAAACGCCGACGCACTTGTATCTTATGACGAACTTGCACATGTGGACAGACGCTACATTCACTGATCACTTGAGTGGTCACTTCAAGTCTGAAATCAAATGGTATTTGAGACTCTTTCCCTCAATGAAAACAAGTGGAAGGAAAAGGAAAGATGCTGATGTGAAGGATGCGAATGTTGCAATGCAACCACGTCGTAAATCTCCACGGACGACAGCGATGAAAACACCAACTTTATCCGGCAAGCCTCTAGTTGTGGTGGAGCAGCTCCTTCCCGATACGACGAAGCCGGAAGAAGTCATTCGATTTAGCCTCGACAAGGACACATGCTGGTGTAGTTCGGCTGCGTTCGACTTCGCAATCTTCAAAGTTGCTGTGCCACGAGATAACAAGCTCGTCCGATGTAAAATGTCCCTTAAGGCGTATGACACGAAGAATGTTGACGTGTTCGGATTCCCTGGCGCTCTTCAAGACCAACATTTTGGTCACGCTTACGCATCCTTTCCAGCTAAAATCACCGGTTGGCGTGGAAACCAAATGATTCTCTCATCTTTGTCAGCTCCTGGTCTATCTGGAAGCGCGCTTGTATGCACCAAATATGGAGTACCAGTGGGATATATTGGTGGACTTGATGGCTCAATGAAGAACAAGCAGTATCAATCCTATGCCTTCACATTTCAAGGATTAATCCCCGAATTACCGTCTTCGTTGCCGCCTGATACCGAAGGTGAAACAAAGAATGAGTTATAGTCTGTATAGCGCCAGTGGAAGTGAATCCACGTGAAATTTTCTGCAATGGTGGTAGAAATAAACTTACTTTTGCGTGAGACGCTTTATAAATGTATTTTTATTGTGTATTTCAATTCTTTTCTTCTTTTTTTCACTAATATTAATAGCCTGATGCTCGGTGTACAATAAAAAGAGGTCGGTTTATTAAATCGAGGTCTATAAAAAGTACAAATCGATCTAACTAAACAGTCTGATAAATCGAGCCACGGCAGAATCGACCGCTTCGGATCGATTCCACATCCATATCCTGTAAATCGACGCTCTGAAATGGTAATTCGATAGCCTGTCTCTTCCCATCTCATTTTTACGCGTGGTTTTATGGACCATACTCGATCTAGGATATAAAACGGATGGACATTCCCACAATAATCCTGACAAATATAAAGGTATAGCATATAAATATGACGTATTTACCCTTTCGCTAAAGAGCATCAAAGCAGCGCACCACGCGAAGCTCGTCTAACCTATCACAAAAGGTACGACGATAGAAATAGGGACCAAATTCGTACGCGCAAAAAGCGGAAGCCGAAAGACGAACTTAACAGCAACGAAGCCGAACTTAAGACATTAACCGAACTTGGCTAATTAATTACTTCGAAGTATTTTTTTTACCACATAGAAAGTCAAGCCACATATAGACAGACACTGATTGACCACCACGCTGACGATTTCGAAGGATGCTCTCGGCGACCTTAGCCCGTCTGGGTGATGCGGCAAAGGACAAGGGTAAATGGATGGCTTTAGGTAAAACGCAAGTTTTCCGTGCCGCTGGCTATCGAACCCGCGGTGTTATTGCAACACCCCTTTCAAGCGACACTTCCTTATCATTGACGAGGATGAGAATCATCACTTCGTTGGTTCAGAGTGTGCTAAGCTTTTTGGTGGGCACTAGTGTTGGCAATTGATATTCACCGTTAATATCAGCTAAATTAGCTGAATGGGTTATTAATCGCTAATAACAATGAATAACTAATTTTCACAGTGACAATTCAAACAAACAATCGGGCTACTGTACAACCGACTTCCACTCGCATAGCGAAGCGGTTATGGCAAGGAGAATTGAGCATGGGTATGCACTAGTCGGAGAGCGCTACAAATCCGAAGCTATGCGGTAGCTACCTGGATCTGTTTGCCGAAGACAGCGGCTGTAGTGCGACCACAATGCACTCTGCTCCCTCAACTACGGCGTACTCTTGCACCGCAGTAGACCGGGGCATTGTCTTCGACTACTTCTCGTGTTCACCGTAGAGATCAAGCTCAACGCCTGCTGCTGCATGTTTTGCGGTACAGACTGTCAAATAATGCGCTCCCAAGGCTTCGAGGAAGGCGATCGTTCGAGTGGACAGCCTGAGAGGCTACAACGTATTCTTCGAGGAAACGCAGGTGACTATGTGTTATTGTTTCTTAGAAATTTGATGTGTCTGCGGCACTCGAGCAGTTATTATCGTGAGGTACCAGTAATTATGAGGGAGATTAGTTGACGGAGCTCATAACGCAAGAGCAAGAAGCCAAGAGTACGCACATCGGTCACGACGCTAGCTACTGCCATTCCGAGATAATTTCTATGGGATGATGGAGTCTTTACGGAGGTGGCCAGGCACAATTTTGGATTGGTTCTTTCACGGAAAAATCTGTGAATGTTTGGTGCAATGCAAGCACCGCTACCTGAGATGGTTGGAAGATCCGAGCCGGGAAGAGGATAAGGTATTGCGGTCAAGTGCAGCCGAAACATCAGTTAGCGGTTTGAAACCCTAAAGATATCGCGATCAGTAGCACTACAATATTTGTCGACATAGCTGTGCGTGAGTCTTGCTAACTCTATTGCTTCTATTGTGATAGTCTAGCATTTCAAATTGCAAAATGATCAATAACTTGGAAACGCTAGGAGGTAATGCACTGGAGCAACAATTTTGCAGCTTACAGATGATTTTGCGCTAAACGCTGATCTGGAAATGAAGTCGTGGTCATGAAGAAGGGAAAATTGATGAAAAGAAGACTGCCTCGTGCTCAAAGTTGCATACACTCAGTGAGGAGAGCTGACAGTGCAGTCATTGAGACTCCCTTTCATGGATGAATTTAATTTTCTGAGTGGCGAACTATGATCGGTCAGCTTTCTGCATTGAAATGGTGCACCGGGCCCGGCGAGCGCCAATACCGGCTCGTCTCGAGTGTGTTTGTGGATGCAACGGTGTTGACTATCATCTTGTGTGTGTGCGGTAGTGTTTTGAGAAGGGAATTATATATATTATTTGTTTTGCAGCTCAATCTATCTTGTCTGGCATATCGGTTGCTCTCGTCCATTGAAAACTGGAGTGGTGAATCTATCATTAAGACTTACCTCGTGAAGTACTGCTGTTGGTGATCCAGAGCCAGTTGGTTTTGTCCGCAGATGCCTTGTTGTGGGTGATGGCGATTGGTAGTCGTTTGTGAGCTCCCCACTATCATCTTCGCTATCGTCGCTGCTATCGCTGGAGTCACTACCGTCACAAGCTTCAGGAAAGAGCTGGTACATGATATGGTTCACTTCAGTTTTCCGAGCGATATTGGTGTACACGAAAACGAGTCTGCTAACCCGCTCAGGAGTAAGGCGATTGCGCAGTTTAGTGTAAATAAATCCGTGGATGCTCCAGCTGCGCTCACTAGAAGCTGACGATGTCGGTATTGATAATAGTAGCTTCGCAAACGACTGCACCAGACGGTATTTGGTATCAGGAAGTGACCACCAGCTCAATGGGCTGAACCGATTGTTGTCTAAGCGCTCCGTCCCTTTCCAGCTACATTTTTCCAGAACAAATTCTTGCAGCTCATTGTGGAACGTATCCTCCTGAGATCGATCGACAAGCTCTAGCTTCCTGGCAAGTTCAGTAGCATCAGTTATCAGTTTTTTTGAGTCGTGCCCATCCATCGATTTTGTTTGGTCCAGCATATGGGCAATCCCCAGTGGCTTCCAGCAAATTTTCTTTTTTCTGTCCTCGATTGCGCGAAGCACCTGCAGCTGAAGTTCCGTACTACATCCATCCAAGGATTTTGTGTAGACATCGTGAGTTCGCAGCCAACTGAATTGGTGGTAAACAAGCGAAATACTGCAATCATCACGCTCAAAGGCAGAAGGCTCGTGTTGATAGGCCGGATTATAGCGACTGTAACAGCAGCGTCTTGCCAGAACTCCTCATCCTTGAAGGTCTTCGTCGCTTCTTCCAGGTCTGAGCCCTTGTAGTTCCTTAGAAAGGCTGTGTCGGAAAAAATAGCAGCAATGACATCTCGATTTTGAACCACGTTGGCGATACATTTCTCATGGGTGTACCAGCGTGTTGCCACCGTCAGCGAGAGACGACGGCGTTTTTCTCCTCGCTTCTTAAGTTGTTTTTGAGCATCCCGAAAACACGACCACAGGCCACGCCGACCCCTGATGAAACGAGCTAGGGCTTGTGCCTTGTCGAGGACGTCTTTAAAAAACTTCATTTTAAAGATGTCTTTTATCAGCAGATTCATTCCATGTGCTGCACACCCAGTGCACACCATACCTTTGCGCTCCATCCGGACAAGCTTCCAAGCCTTTTTCATATTCGCGGCGTTGTCGGTAACGACGGCGGTAACTGCCCCAGCTCCGACCGCTTCTTCAAGCTCGAGGATAGTGGATAGAATAGTGTCTGCAATATAACGCCCGGTGTGTACCTCAGCTCTCGTATTAATTGATTTCCAAAAGACAGGAGGAAATTTAGGATTCACAAAAACAAAATTAATGATACTGTCACCATTAACGTTGGACCAGCCATCCGTCACGAGCGTCCACCCGGAAACTCCACTCATCAAAGCAATTATCCGGTCCATCTCACGCTTGAAAATTAAATCCAACAGGGCCCTCTGAAAGCTGCCGGCGAGATGATAATCAAACATAGCGCGGAAATGAGGGTCGTCAATCACTCGAAAAGGAATACCGGTAGCAATGAACCCCATAGCAACCCGTAAGAAATTGTCCTCCTCACTCTGCTTGATCGACTTGTTTAAAGAACTGCGTGGTCTCTTGCGTGAGCCCGTGCGTGGAGACCCACTCTGGGGTGTATGGAATAAGCGCTTACTAATAGACGACGGAGTTTTAGCTGAGCGTCTTGCTGGGGTCAGCAGCTTAGATGCTTTTTCGTGACGACGCTGTGAGTCATACCGAAGCCACCGCTGTTTCGACTCAGCGTCGACCTTGTCACACTTCAACACGTGTGTGAGCATGTTACGCGAAGGCTGCGCATTCTTCAGCACCTCGCCACATGCATTGCAGCTGGCGTCCGGGTGGGGCTTAGCTCCTTTGACGCGGGCAACTGCAACGGTGTAAAGCCTCCATATCTCATGCTGTGACGGTGCCATACTGTTGAGCGCTCGTATTAAGCTCACACCCTGTATCAGACTGTGTCAATATGTTTGAAAGCGACTTGAACGTCGCACACACGCGCGAGAATTGGTGTACCGTCAGAAGGGGCTATATCCAGCAGCGTCGGGCTGAGCTTTTGTGGAGATGAACGGAGCTTGCACGGCAGGGAAAGACGTCGGGGTGGGGGCGCTAGTTGTGTTGTGAGTCTCACGCGAGATCTTTGCTCGAGCAGAGCGATCTCGCGGGACTTCAACCTACTGGCAGCATCACCATACGCCAGAAATTGAACATTCGATATTCACAGTTAATATTAATGTTAACTTGGGAATGTAAACGATTATAATCGCTAATATACCTGTTAATAGTCGTGAATTGCCAACCCTAGTGGGCACTATAAGGTGTGCCTCGGCTGCCAACGCCGGTACAGGGGTTTCTACAAATATTGTAAGGATTGTCGAGACCGCGGTCTTACTTCTTTAAGCGAGACGATGCTAGAATTTGGCAAGTACAGAAATCGAAAGCCAGAGTCGTTAGTGGGAGTGGATGACTCCTATACCCACTTCCTATTTAAGTGTGATATCGTATCTGAGGCCTCCAGGCAGGATTTGGCACTTAATTTACTCCCAAGAACGGTTATTGGAATCAAAATCAAGTACATTGATAAGACGTTCAATTGGATCAAGTCTCACGATTCAAAATATTATCGCTGGTTTTGCAAACGCTCGACAGATCGTACACAAAGTATTTTAATTAATTAATTTTGAAATTTGTTGTATAGGGGTTAGATATAAAGTCGATCCTGATACAAGATCCAAAAATTATAAAGTCATTTCCACAGGAATGGTAGAGACAAGAGTATACAGGCAATGCGAGCTCGAAGGTATTAAATATTGATGCCATTTGCTGGGGTAGTACCTTACCGCGTTAAGGTGCGTGGTAGAACTGGGTTAGCAACGTTTCCCATCCGACCAATCAGAAGCTATTTGCGAGGCAGTACAAGATCTCCGTCGAGACCTAGAAGAAGCACATTTCCCCGGACTATTACAAGGATCCCAAGTATCGTTTTTACAACGGCAAGCACATGGAGTCCCATCTGTATGAAGGTATCCAGACTGCTGAGTTCTATGACAAGCTCGAGAACGTGCTTGCTACCCAGACTAACGCCTTCAAGGTAAACATTGCTCTTGGGTACGATCTCATAAGTCTAACGGATGGAAATTTTACCCAGTACTGGCACCCGAATCTGGCTACCACTTACGTATTTGAGACCCTCAACAGGCGATCTGACATCCTAAAGAAAATTATCTCAAAAATAAGGTCAATGGAGCTGGCTAATACGCTAAACTACCCCAAATCTGGCTAAAAGCTGAAGACGATTACCGGGTTTAAGATTTACATATACTTCCGTGGGCATGCACTTGGTGATAGTGAAGTTGTTATCCCTAAGATTATACGCGACAACAAGTACGTAATCAACTTCCCCAAGACCAACAAACAAGTGTGTGTTTCCCTGTATCGCGTGGAACTTGAATCAGCATGCTAATAATGATCCTCGTCGGATCCAGGCTCATGTTAAGGAAGTTTTTAAGAGATACTGCTCATAAGGGTATCAGCTTTACGCTTAGCCTGCTCCGTGGCTTCAAACCGATTGATCTCCTACAGCTCGTTGTTAGCTATTAGCGTCTACTCTATGGATGTAAAGCTGAGTGTACCCGTCGCTCGGAGAAAGAGGGGGTATCTATGGATATCCTTTCCCATGAGAGCCATGCATTGCACATAAAGAACATTGATCAGCTCCAGTCTAAGTATCAATGCTCAAAGTGTGAGATGATTTTCGTTAGCTCTGCTACGGCAAAGTGTCAGTTTAGTAGCCTCGATTGAGTGATTTTACTAAATCTGCGATAACTCGCCATCTAATATTCCAATTGACACATATGAGGTAGCGTTGAAATGAGGAGTAACAGGCCGATTTTTGAGATTTTTAACAAATAAATAACAGGTAAAACGTTTTTTATAAAGCTATCTTTCCTGTGACGGGGTCACACAGCACCTTGCGCTAGAGGAAGTTATCTTCCGAGAGTATACAAACTCTCAGTGAACGGCAGGTCACAGGTCCCCTCTTTATTTAAAGAGAGCGAAGTGACCTAAATAAGGTAGATTGCAAGCTGAGTATATTTAAAGGTAGGTTAAGTTTGGGTTTAATACAAACTATAAGTCACCTATAGAAATGCAATGTCGTTTGACCAATGGCTGGTTTTGAACGACCTTGGCCTTGGTACCTTGTATTAAATATCCCGGAGTATAACGTGTCATACACCTGAAGTGTGAAGTGTCACACTTCATGTAACCAGGGTACACTTAGGGCTACGTGCCCCGTTACATCCTCCCCCACTTAGTTTCTGTTTACCGACCAATCAGAAGTGTTCGTCAAAAACTCTCATTCTCAAAGTCGAAAACCATTGACTTGGCCGCGCGAGCGCGGCGGAGGCTCACTTCACAGTTGGAGCCTCGAGCAGCAACCTGTGCGCTCTTCGTCTAGGTCTCCTATTCGACCGTTACCATGCCTCGTGGCTGCAGAGAGCGGTGCTAAGACACGCTCCAAGACTGCGGCCGGTAAGGCGCAAGCCAAGAGCACTAAGCCTCACGGCAAAGGCTCGCACTCAAGAAGGCTACTCAGGTGGCCTCCGAGGCGATCGGTTCCTCGGGTGACGCGGCTGTGGCCAAGCGAACAAGCAAGCGCCGCAGTCCGTCGCCCTCGGCCTCGGACAATCGTCCGAAACCTCGGTTCGTGGAACGTGAGTTCAACTCTGGCCGTGAGGACGATGCCGAGTTCGAGAGCACGCACGATGCTCCTGTGGGCTCTGTGGGAGGGCATAGCCCAGTGCCCAGTGAGCACAAGGATGACAGCGTGCAGTCGCTCGCTAGTGATCAAGGTGATCACAGTCCCAGACCGTCTGTGCGCTCGGAGAGTCCGGCGGTCAAGGCTAAGTGCTCTTCCAAAGCCGGTGGCGATGAGGAAGAGAATTCTCGCAAACGTCTCTCGCTTGCCGAGGGTCTTGCGCGTGCTAAGGCCTCTAAAGCCGAAGGCGCCGAGCCCTCAAAGAAGCGTACAGCTTCTAAGTCTCCACTCCTATCAGAGTATCTTCGACTCCTCGGGAGAAGAGGAGGAGAAGGAGGAAGAAGAAGAGGAGGAGGGTGCTATCGCTGAGCCCGGGGAGGTCTCGAATGACCTCGACCAGCAGCAGGAGGAGTTCCAAGCTGCCCAGCGTGTGTGTGGGGGTTCGGTGGTGGCACCCGTCAGCCAGGGAGCTGCCATCAACTCAAGAGGGTATTGGCCTCCCGAGGAGAGCTCTGGGGCTGACCTCTTCTTAGAGCTTCTCGTCGCTCCTCGTGGCCTTGTGGGCGACCACACTTCTAGGGGCATCTACGAACGTGCCCTTGTGTAGAAAGAACAGCTGTTCGCTGACAACATGGAGGCTGCTCGGTGTGTGCTTCTCGCGCCACACCGCATCCCTCTCAAGGACTTCACGACTTGTCGTAAGAAGCCCGAGACCCGGGGTGGTATCTATCCTCTTTGGGGATACCCCTGGGTTATGCCCGAGAACTGTCCCACGTGGAGTACTTGTGAGGACATGTTATGGACATGGGTGTCGACGCTTAAGTACTCACCCACGGAGTTACGGGAACTCCATGAAGATCAGCTGCTGTCCCGCATCCTATACCAGCGTGATCTTCGTGTGAGGTTTGCCCACTTGGTCAACAAGCGCATGCTGCCAAGGGACATCCTGAAGCGCGCGGCTTCTAGCGCTCACAATGCGCACGGATACGGAATGTATTCATCGTCCGTACCCCGTTCGGGCAAGAAGCCCCGGACTACTTATGAAGCTGCCGCCGCTTCTGTTCCCAGATTGCGACAGCCTTCGGGCAGTCAATCGGGAGTCGTTCAATCGGCTCCCCCGAGTTCTCGGAGTGGGCATAACCCCTCCACTTCACGAGGAGCTGTCGCTTACCGCGACGCCGTTGCTCCTTGAGGATCCCCTCCACGTGAAAGTGGACCTCTTCATTCCGGTCAAGCAGGGGCGGAGGTGCCCTCGTACGAGTACGAGTACTCGGCGCCTCCCGAAAGCCACTCTCGTCCGAGTGCTCCGACTGCGGGTCCGACACAGGGCCCTGAGGTTGACCGCCTCCGCCAACGTGTCCTCGCGCTTGAGATTGCACTTGGCCTTGGGACTGGCGGTGATGCGGCCGCTCAGGCCGGGAATCAGGGCGAGCTCGCTCGTCTTGCAGGCCGCTTGGACCTGTTGGAGCGTGAGGTCGCGAGCCTGCACCTGCGAGTGGATCGCCGGGTCTCTTCGTCCGATCTGGACGAGGCCTTTCGGATGATTCGACGGATCGAGGCTTTGTTGCCACGTCCGGAGCCGCCTGCCGCACACTCCCAGACGTACGCGTATGGTGCGTACCCGGCGTACTCAGCGTACTCGGCGTATGGCGCCGGGGTCCGTTCGTATGGAGCCCTCCGGCGTACGGTCTTGAC